TATATTTTATTCAAAAATAAAAACATCATCGCTTTCTCAAAATCACATAAAGCCATATTATAACATCGACTGAGATAAAGAATAAAATAAAATATTAAAATCACGATGTATCTCGCTGCATTGCGCGAGTACGCTTCTAGTTATTATAAAAATAGTATTTGATTAAATATTCAAAATAGGACTTAAAAGGTAAGTTAACAATTTTGTTTTAATTAAAATCGTGAAACTGTGAATAATATGATTAGATAAAACTATGAAAGTGTAAAAACACAAAACAATAAAAAAAATCATGTCTTGAAAAAAAGGCAGTCACGCCTTATAGAAATGCTATAGACCTTCTCCCACTAAAATATGTTGTACATCTTGATAAGAAAAAATGTTAGGTTTAACGTCTAGTAAGTTAAAATAGTTTTATCATATAAACATTAAACAATTAAATCGGGCAATTTCCTTTAAATACGACTCCTTTATTTAAATCATAAATCAAAATGGAACATATTCCCAAAACCAATTATTTCCCCCAATTAAATTACTCGTTTTAGTTTGATGAAGAACATCCAACTCACCCAAAAATGCAGAAACATAGGTAACCAAAAACAACACCTTTCAGTGATGGTGGAGACCCGATTCCATAGAATGTGGTGGGAATACAAAAGTAAGCCACTTATTGATGTTTTTGAGTTTCACCTTGGGCTACAAATCCCCGTATACGACTCCATTGAGTACCATCACAGGATTCTCAAAATGACCCTAATGTCTACTCGACCTCTAGACAAGTCTTACACAAAAGTCACCGGTCTTTGTATACGGCTCCAACGAGCACCGGCACAAAACATGGCCCCGTAGGCTACTAGCTTTGTGTACGACCTAATAGGGCACCACTGCAAGCTTTCAAACCATAACTTCAGGACCACTTACTAGACTTAAGTGTGGGAATCAAAACTCCACACCTAACAAGAAGACAAGCTTCTATGCTTATGAATCCACTGCATTACAGTTTAAATTTACATGACTTCATTTGAACGACTCACGCACTCAAAACATATAATATCTAACCAATATGCAGTAAAACGCATTTTACGTATATAGCCCCACATTAAGCTATTAAAATTGGACAAATCTCCCTAAAACTCGTTTGAGTTTAAATCAAGTCAAAGGCCTCACAAAAAACTTGACTATTTAAATAAAGTCAATGTAAACCACAAAGCTGAACAAGCATATTTTCCAAATGTTTACAACAAATGGCACCTATAACAAGAAACAAGTCTAAAATCGCATAGTTCATACTTCAAAATTTCCACCAAGCCAATGAAGGCGTTTATCAAAGAATTACCCCCTTATAATCAAAAGGGATAATATGTCACTATCAGAAGTTCATGAGTTGGGTAGGACCCCAAAACAATATTTGACAGGAAACAAGGTAAATAAACCCTTCAACTTGTTCAAGAAATCAAGGAAAGTTGTTATTAATCCAAGTAATCTTTTTGAGAGTCAAAACAATATTTTGCTCCAAATCATCCAAATGTCAAAGAAATTTCATTTAATGAAATAAATATCTATTAGTGTCTCAAAACACCCAATAAAAACATTACGAACAATTTTTAAAGTTTTCATAACTCCAAATATGCCCAGATGCACAAAATCAAAAAACTCATCAAATATGGAATAAACTTGTGTAAATGTGTTCAAGACCCAAAATATATATTTTTTGACATGTATATAGTTTTGTAAATCAAATGGAATTCACATTCCTAGATTTATGTTAAATATAGGTTCTTACCCCAAATATTGAGCTTCCTTTGATGAAGACTTAAGATGTTCAGGTTAGACTCACAAGTCGAAGATATAAGCTCCCAAAAACTCCTTTCATACTCCCAATCTTGCCCAAAGACATCACAAAGAAAGAATTTGATGAGGATGGAAATAACCCAAACTCTAACCTTTAAAGATGAGAGATGGAGGTTACCTTCAATATGCATATATGAAACCACCAAGAAATACTCTTCAAATACCCAAAATTGAGCCTGAAGCTTCCCAAGAACTCAAACTGAAGAGGAAATGGTGGAGGATAAGTGTTGGGATGGGAAAATGAGGAAAAGCCCAAAAAATCGAGCATTTTAGGGCTGACAAACCTTAATGTGGTTTTTCACGCAGCTAAAGTTGCACGAAAAGTCGCCTTGATTATTAGAAAGTCACACGGAAAGACACCTAAACAGAAAGTTGCACTGGTCTCTGTTCGTGCGATTTTTTCGCTTTTCATGTCCAATTCGCTCCTTGATGGTTCTAATATGATATATATATATAGGGTCAGGTTTAAGGGGGGAAATTGCAAAAAAAAAAAAAAAAACTGACGAACACCCTAGTAACTAGGGGTGCTCAAAAACCCAATGAACCCGACCAACCCAACCCGATTTTTTTTAAAAAAAACCCAACCCGAGTAACCCGATGTATGATCGATAAAAAAATTAGCCAACCCGACCTTATTGGGTTGGAATCGAGTCAGGCCCAAAAAAACCCGAACAACCCGACAACCCGATGAACCTGACCTTAACTTTAGCTTTGAATTGTAATCATGACATGATCAACCTCAACGTCAAGAAAGCGAAAGCATCAAGGTTGGAAACGTCTAAAACTATTGTTGTTGATTGATGTATTATCATTTGGTTTAAACATTTTTATTGTAATATCTAAATATTTGATGAACTTGCATATTATCTTGAATGGTCGGTCATATTTCAAAGGAAAGTTTTCTTTATTTTATGTGATTTTACATTGCTTAAACACAACTCGATCAACCCGAACGGGTTGGGTTGGACTTTTTGTTGGTCCCAAAAGGGTCTACAAGAATACTAAACAGGTTGTAGAAGGGGGGGGGG